GATGCCATGATCTTGGTTTTCTGAATGTTGAGTTTTAAGCCAACTTTTTCACTTTCCTCTTTCACTTTCATCAAGAGACTCTTTAGTTCTTCTTCCCTTTCTGCCATGATGTGCTCTGCATATAAGTTAAATAAGCATGGTGACAATATACAGCCTTGATGTACTCCTTTCCCAATTTGGAACCAGTCTGTTGTTCCATGTCCAGTTCTAACTTCTTGACCTGAATACAGATTGCTCACAAGGCAGGTCAGGTGGTCTGGTATTCCCATCTCTTTTAAGAATTTTCCACAATTTGTTGTGATCCACATAGTCAAAGGCTTTGCCATAGTCAAAAAAGCAGAAGTAGATGTTTTTCTGAAACTCTTGCTTTTTTGATGATCCAATGGATGTTGGTAATTTTATCTCTGGTTCCTCTGCCTTTTCTAAATCCAGCTTGAAAACCTAGAAGTTCATGGTTCATATACTGTTGAAGCCTAGCTTGGAGAATTTTGAGCATTACTTTGCTAGTGTGTGAGATGAGTACAATTGTGCAGTTGTTTGAACATTCTTTGGCATTGCCTTTCTTTGGGATTGGAATGAAAACTGACCTTTTCCACTCCTTTGGCCACTGCCAAGTTTTCCCAATTTGCTGGCATATTGAATGCAGCCCTTTCACAGCATCATCTTTTAGAATTTGAAATAGCTCTACTGGAATTCCATCACTTCCACTAGCTTTGTTCGTAGTGATGCTTCCTAAGGCCCGCTTGACTTCACATTCCAGGATGTCTGGCTCTAGGTGAGTGATCATGCCATAGTGATTATCTGAATCATAAATATATTTTTTGTATATAGTTCTTCTGTGTATTCTTGCCACCTCTTCTTAATATCTTCTGCTTCTGTTAGGTCCATACCATTTCTGTCCTTTATTGTGCCCACCCATTTTTGCATGAAAAGTTCCCTTGGTATCTCTGATTTTCTTGATGAGATCTCTAGTCTTTCCCATTCTATTGTTTTCCTCTATTTTTTTTGCATTGATCACTGAGGAAGGCTTTCTTATCTCTCCTTGCTATTCTTTGGAACTCTGCATTCAGATGGGTATATCTTTCCTTTTCTCCTTTGCCTTTCACTTCTCTTCTTTTCATAGCTGTTTGTAAGGCCTCCTCAGACAACCCTTGTGCCTTTTTGTATTTCTTTTTTTGGGGGGATGGTCTTGATCCCTGTCTCATGTACAATGTCACGAACCTAGGTCCATATTTCTTCAGGCACTCTATCAGATTTAATCCCTTGAATCTATTTGTTACTTCCACTGAATAATCATAAAGGGATTTGATTTAGGTCTCACCTGATTGGTCTAGTGGTTTTCCCTACTTTCTTCAATTTAAGTCTGAATTTGGCAATTAGAAGGTCATGATCTGAGCCACAGTCAGTTCCCAGTCTTGTTTTTGCTGACTGTATAGAGCTTCTCCATCTTTGGCTTCAAAGAATATAATCAATCTGATTTTGGTATTGACCATCTGGTGATGTCCATGTGTAGAGTCTTCTCTTGTGTTGCTGGAAGAGGGTGTTTGCTATGACCAGTGTGTTCTCTTGGCAAAACTCTGTTAGCCTTTGCTCTGCTTCATTCTGTACTCCAAGGCCAAATTTGCCTGTTACTCCAGGTATTTCTTGACTTCCTACTTTTGTGTTCCAGTCTCCTATAATGAAAAGGACATCTTTTGGGGGTTTAGTTCTAGAAGGTCTTGTAGGTCTTCATAGAACCGTTGAATTTCAGCATTAGTGGTTGGGACATAGACTTGGATTACTATGATATTGAATGGTTTGCCTTGGAAATGAACAGAGATTATTCTGTCATTTTTGATATTACATCCAAGTAGTGCATTTCAGACTCATTTGTTGACTATGATGGCTACTCCATTTTTTCTAAGGGAATCTTGCCCACAGTAGTAGATATAATGGCCATCTGAGTTAAATTCCACTGTTCTGGTCCATTTTAGTTTGCTGATTCCTAAAATGTGGATGTTCACTCTTGCCATCTCTTGTTTGACTACTTCCAATTTGCCTCGATTCATGAACCTAACATTCCAGGTTCCTATGCAATATTGCTCTTTGTAGCATCAGACTTTACTTCCATTACCAGTCACATCCACAACTGGGTTTTGTTTTTGCTTTGGCTCTGTTTCTTCATTCTTTCTGGAGTTATTTCTCCACTGATCTCTAGTAGCATATTGGGCACCTACCGACCTGGGGAGTTCATCTTTCAGTATCCTATCTTTTTGCCTTTTCATACTATTCATGGGGTTCTCAAGGCAAGAATACAAAAGTGGTTTGCCATTCCCTTCTCCAGTGGACCATGTTTTGTCAGAACTCTCCACCATGACCCGTCCATCTTGTGTGGCCCTACATGGCATGGCTCATAGTTTCATTGAGTTAGACAAGGCTGTGGATTAAAGATTTTTAATCTTATTGGATTAAAGATTTACTGAGCACGGCTTCGCCCATCAGAACAAGACCCAGTTTCCCCCTCAGTCAGTTTCTCCTATCAGGAAGCTTCCATAAGCCTCTTATTCTTCTCCATCAGAGGGCAGACAGTCTGAAAACCACAGTCACAGAAAAAATACAGTGTAAAAGAATATTTAAAAAAGAATGTGTATATATATATATGTATAATTGAATCATTTTGCTACATAACAGGAATTAACAATGTATATCAACTATACTTCAATAGAAATAAGAAAAAAAAGTTGAAAATACAAAAAAAGGAGGAAAGCCACAACTTCATTTTGTTCTACCACCTAGAGACAGCCACTATTACTATTTTCCACATTTCTTTTTAGCCTTTTCTACTCATTTCCACTAATTCTTGTGATCATATCTTATATTAAAGTTGTATTATACTTTCAGGGCTTCCCTGGTGGCTCAGACGGTAATCTGCTTGCAGTGCGGGAGACCTGGGTTTGATCCCTGGGTTGGGAAGATCCCCTGGAGGAGGGCATGGCAACCCACCCCAGTATTCTTGCCTGGAGAATCCCACAGAGGAACCTAGCAGGCTACAGTCCATGGGGTTGCAAAGAGTCAGACACCACTAAGCAAGTAAGCACAGCACATACTTTCAATTAATCCTAGAGTATAAACATTTTCCTGTCATTAGGAATTATGTATAAATATAATTTTTATTGTTTATATAATATTCTGTGACTAAACTATAAGTTACTTAACCTTTGAACCATAAGAATTTTTTTCAACATAATTGTTTTAAACAATTTTCACACATCAGAAAACAAATTCTATTCGAATTCTCACAGACTATAAACCAGGAGACACTGGAATATATCCAGGAACATAGAACAAGATGCAAAGATTTCATGGTCTAAAGGTATTGAAATCATAGAGGGTCTGTTCTCTTATCACTGTGAACCATAAGGATTTTTTTCTAGTATTTTATTATTCTAAGTAGTACTGGCATTAACATCATTCTGCAAAAAATTTGTGTACGTTTCTGTTTCCTTAGGAAACATTTATTCATTCATTATATGCAAATATTAGTGCTTGGTGCAAAGTTTCTGCCTTGGGTGACATGTTGTCATCTCCTGAGATAAGGAGGAGGAGCAAATTTAAGAGAAAATGTGGTGGGTTCAGCTTCGGATGTGTTGAGTTTGAGACATCCAAGTGGAAATGTCAAGAAAGGAGAGCTCAGTGAAGAGGTCTGGATAGAGGTATAAAATTACAGATGTGGTCATATAGATGGTAATTCATGCCAAATGAGTGAAAGATCATACAGGGAAAGAGTATAGGTAGCCTAGTCCTGAGAATGTCCAGCTTTCAGAGGCTAGATAGCAGAAGTGGAATCTGCATAATAGACCGAGGAGAGGGCAAAGGGTTTGGAGGCAAAACAAGAGTGTGGCATCATGCCACACGAAGACTTTCAAGGAGGAAATGGTTAACAGTGTTAAATGTGGGGGGGGGGGGGCAGGTCAAGCAAGATAAGCAGGGGAAATACTGCATTTATTTATTTAATATAGCCTTTCTGACATAGAGTTCATTGGTTGAGTATCTTGTTGAGCAGTTTCAGTGGAGTGTTGGGGGGAAGGAAGCCAAATTGCTGAGTAAGAAGGGAATAGAAATTGCCCATAAAGAGGAGCTAGAGTGTACCTAGTGTGTAGGGAGGATTTTTTTTTTCAAGATGACAGAGACTTGAGCATGTTTAATTGCTGATGACAGATGGAAGGGACTTGAGCCTGGTTAATAGCTGATGAGAAGAATTAGGGGGAGTAGGGAGACTGGGGAGAGAAATCTATAATTATTGGGTAAATATAAACATTTTAATGTCTATTGATATATACTGCTCACATGCTTTCTAAAAGGGTTTTAAGCCAAAACACACTCCTCCTAGCAATTGTGAGAGAGCTTGTTTGGTGGCCACTTTGTCTTCATTAAGTGTTATAAAAACAAAGAAACAAACAAAAACCGTTGTTGAAGAGTTTCATTATGGTTCTAATTTATTCCATTTGGATTACTAGTGAGCTGAATATTTTAACCAGTTGTGTCTGTGTGTGAATTTAGTCTATGTCCTTTCTCCAAAACGTTTCTGTTTTGGACAGACACTTTTATTTGCCATAGAAAACTGAAAGTCAAAGGATCAGAATAGCATCGTATTTTTTGTTCCCAAATTATATGGTCAAGAGTCTTCGTCTTCTTAGAAGTACACAACAACTTGACAACTTGTCGCTCAGCTGAACGGAAGAGAGACATGATGTATCATTTGAGAGAGGGACCACCTATGAAACCCAGGTCTAGTCAGACTCCTATGTCAGTCGTCAAGCTCCCTTTGCTAACCTGGGACCGCATCCCTCCAGTGTCTTAAGGATTTGGTCCTCAGAGCTCCCCTTCGGGTGGCCGGTGGTGCGGCCCCCTACCAAGGAGCCCGGAGTGCTGTGCGGCCCCTTTAAGAGTCCAGCTCCTCCCCGCTCCAGGGAAAGTTGAAGCTTTTTCCGCCTCCTGGGAGGGTGAGAAGGGCCGGCTGCTGGAGCGGGACTGCCGTCTTCCCGGAGCGCGAGACCCTTCCTTGAATCCAGCACTGGGACGTCTCGCCCTCTCGTGGCACTTGTTGCAGGTGACAGGTAGGTCCATGGCCCACGACCGTCCCTCCGCACTCGGTCCGGGACGCCTCCTGGGCCCCCAGCCCCTTTTCATTGCCTAAGCACCCCCATCCCCATCTAGGGGATCTGCGTTCTTCCCTTCCCCCTCCCAGTCTCCCAGTCTCGCCTTGTCCGGAGCTGACCCTCTGTCCCTTGTCCCAGTCCGCCTGGGCGGACCGCACCCCCGCGCTTTGACTCTCGTCAGCTGGGCGGTCCCTCCCCACCACTTTGCTTTCCCTTAGTCTCCCGGCCCTTTCCCCGGCCCATCCGTCGCCGCCGAGGGCTGTACCCCTCGGGGCTCTGATTCCTCCTGTGTGAACGGCTTTTCCCGCCCTCGGGAGCCGGGGCCCCTCCCGGGAGCTGGCCCTAGGGGCGGGAGTGGGGCCGAGCTTCTAGCGGGAACTGCGCCCTCCTAGGCGTAGAGTCACCTTTTCAGCGGTATCTGGGCCCCGCATTGCTTCCGGCCCTCGGCCCTCACGGCGTCCACTTCCCTGGCCTCCGCGGATTCACCGCAGGTAAAGGCTGGAGGCCGGTTGGCCCCTAGTCCTGCTTCAGTGAGCACCCTCTGCACTTGGGGCTGAGGACCCGGCTGTGTGCTCTAGAGCTGAACCGCTTTATCTTGCCACCCTTAGGCTTCCTGGTGGCTCAGCAGTAAAGAATCCGCCTGCCAATGCAGGATCCCTGGGTCGGGAAGATCCCCTGGAGAAGGGAATGGCAACCCACTCCAGTATTCTTGTCTGAGAAATCCCATGGACAGAGGAGCCTGATGGGCTACAATCCATGGGGTCGCACAAGAGTCTGACACGACTTAGCCACTAAAGGACAACTTACAGCGGTCAGCGAGATATGCTTCTGAAAGAGGGTCCTCAGAGCCCTCAGAAGAGACATAGAACGTTTCCATCTGTGATGGTTTGTAAAGGGGTAGAAAAGATGTCCCTCCAACCCTTAACGTTGAGTTGAGTAAGATGGTTGGAATTTTGGGTGCTAAAATCATTGGGTTAGAATTTTGGCGACTGGAACAGGTGATGTTTCTAATTAACCAAACTTTTCTTCCTGAGGTATCCTGCCTGCTTCTCCAAGAATCAGAGGACCTAGCATTCCAGAATACTGCTTTGGGCAGGGTTGATCCTAGACCTTGTACATTTGTGCCGGAAATTAGTCTTCAGTACATACTGTACCTCTTGGCTTCTTTTCTGCTTTCAGCTCCCCACCCCTCATAAGTCCATTAATTTTAAGGTGTTAATGGTCTTATGTGTTTACCCGATGGTCTGTGGAGAGAACAATGGTTAATGCAAAGAGTTGAGGCCCTAATGAAGTTTTTGGCTGTAGTTATAGTTGTTGGGTGGTTTTTTTTTTTTTTTTTTTGCATATGTTGGGAATTCTAATATTAAAAGACCAGCAACTTGGCTTGTGAGACTTTTCCTGGCAGGGGATGGACATTTCTGATAGCACAATTTCAGGTGCCTCTCACTAGGTCAGAGCAGTGAAATGGAGTTTGGAGGCCTGTTCAGGGATAATTGGTCTGTGAGTGTATGTGACATTTCTGATTGATGCTTTCTGTGCTTTTCCCCTTAAAGCTGCTACTAATCAGGGTTGTTAGAATCTATTGAGCCAGGCACTGTGAGAAGTTCTTTATATAATTACCTCGCATAATCCTAATGATAACTGTATGTGTGAGGTACCACAATTATAAGCCTGAAGGCTCAGGCTTCTCTGGTGGCTCAGCAGTAAAGAATCTGCCTGCCAATGCAGGAGACACGGGTTCGATACCTGGGTCAGGAAGATTCTGGGGGGAAGGAAATGGCAACCCACTCTAGTATTCTTGCCTGGGAAATCCCATGGACAGAGGAGCCTGGCAGCCTAATAGTCCGTGGAATGGCAAAAGAGTCAGATATGACTTAGTGACTCAACAACAACATAATGAAAGGGGGACTCTGAGAGTTTAAGTACCTTGACTCAAATCACCCAACTGATGAGGGCCAGAGCTGGGCCATCTGACTGCAGCTGAGCTGTATTCTTCTCCCCTATCACACCAACTCTGCTGTCTTAGATTTTAGGAACACTAAATAGCTCACAGATGAGGACTAAGTGATGAAAAATTTCCCTTCCAAGCTGAAGCCTAAGTTTTGGTCCTTGATTCCACCTCAGAGGGACTGCAGAGACTTTGGAGCATTTACATCACTGGTGGCTCACCCATTTCACTTCCATTGTGGGAATGCTTGCCACATTGCCACTATAAGCACATCCCCCCACCCCGCCCTGTGTACCCAGGTGAGTGAACCTCCAGGGCTCAGAAGGAATTGTCCTGAAGTTAGAGAAGGTGACCCTTGATTCTAGGGATGTGTGCCTGGCTCAATTTTTTCCTTTTCCGCTAGGTAGGGGAGAAATGAGGGTGTGGAAAGTGGTAAGGATTTCCCAATAGCCATGCCAGAACATGTGAGCCTGAGTGTGGACTTGTTTTATCATGGAATGGATGGACTACCTTAGGGAAGAACAGTCCGTGAGAAAATTTCCCTCCTGATCCCATCTCTGGGTCTTTGCTTAAATTACTCTTTTTTTCTCTCTCTCTCTCTCTCTCTCTCTCTCTTTTTTTCCCTGAAGCGATAACTTTGTCACCCATACCCACTTCACTGCCATTAATTCCTATTATCAAGATTTAGCTCTAAAGTCACCTCCTTTGGGACAACCTTACTGAACACACAATTCCTTCCCCTAAGCAGAATTGCCAGTTATTCTGTGTCCTAAAACTCTTTGTTAACACCTCAGGAAAATCCCTTAAAACCTCTCTCAGTTGATTTTCCTGGAAAAGTAAATAACAACCCATGACAGTTTTCTTGCCTGAAAAATCCCATGGACAGAGGAGCCTGGCCAGCTACAGTCTATAGGGTCAAAACATGACTAAGTGACTGAGTACATGCTGACCACAGTTGGTTTTCCATCTCGAAGTTTGTAATCTAAGACAAGGTCTAGATCTTGGAGCTCCCTTTGTTTTGAGCACAAGAGGTTAACAAATATTTGTACAAGGACCTGGGGATACCATCCCTTCAAGGGCCTGAGATCAGGTGATGATGGGATTGAAGTACAGAAGACACCTTTTTTTTTTTTTCATTTATTTTTATTAGTTGGAGGCTAATTACTTTACAATATTGTAGTGGTTTTTGTCATACATTGACATGAATCAGCCATGGATTTACATGTATTCCCCATCCCGATCCCCCCTCCCACCTCCCTCTCCACCC